TTTTTTACTGAATAAAATGCGAGAAACAAATATGGTTTATAACTGCATGTAATTTTGTGTGCTGAATTTTTTTTAATAACAGCTTTATCTTTTGGACAGCAACAGAGGATCGCAATCACTAAAATGTTGCAAATAAATTGCAACAGCTAAAACAGCTATAAATTTGCGATAATAAAGTTAGAAAAAAATTATGATCTACACTGGAACTAATGCACAGAAAGGTTACTGTTTGAAAACTCAAATTATTTCATACCAAGGACACTGGAAAACTAAAATTATTAGTGTTAATGTAACTATTATTAATACTATTATTATAATTTTTATTTATTACTACAATTATTATTATTACCATTGTTAGGATTACTTTTAGCATTATCATTATCATTATTATTATTGTTGTCATTATTATCATTGTTTTTATTAATATTATTATTATTATTATTATTATTACTATTTGTATTGTTATTGTTAATGATATTGGTAATATGATGTATCAAATGGAATAGGACGTCTGATAGACAACAGTAATATCAATATTGCTCTTGGGTTTCTCTGTTAATTTGGTTATTTTAAAATGAAAAAAAAAAAAAAAATTATATACATATTTTATGAGGACAGCAAAAAATGAATTTTATTGCTTTCTGTGGGCTGCAAAGTTGAAATTCTGTTATCGCCTTTTGCATTTGTTCCTTTCTTCTTTCTTTATTTTTTTTTCTCTTCTGTTTGTTTGATAGAGAATTGTAACGGTTAAGCAGTTTTTGGGCGCTTTATTTTTTGTAAGGTTGTAACCGTCCTTTTCGACAAAATTTTTTCTCGTACATTCTGAAATAGAAGTCAAATTTTGTAATCGTCTGCAAAAATTGTTTCAAAATATTTGCTCTTTGTGCCGATACATTTTTGCAGTTCTTTTTCACTCTCTTCTTTATTTTAGTGAAACTTTATTGGAGATTCAAAGAAATTTTGTGCAAATTTTGTGTTTTTATCTAAACTTAATAATTATGTGCTTAATATAATTAATGATTACATATACAACAGTTACTTCCAATAAATTTTCTGAACACTTTGTGTATTCGGAATATTGCAAATAAAGAAATTTTCAGGTAATTCCTGATAAAGTTCTTTTGTTTTTAATATTTCTTCTACAAATGTCGTAGTTCTTTTTTTCTATTTAAAATAAGGCGTAACTTGACTCGAAATTTTTTCTTAAGATAAAAGAAAGAATGTAGTATACATATGTGTATTTTCTTTTTTTCTTTTGCTTTGCTAAAATTTCAACTACAATAAAGGAACGTTTTTGAGAGTGAAAGGAAAAGGAAAAAACTAGACGCTTACAATATGTTGGAGTTTTTAAAATGAGAAAAAAAAGGCAGAATGTTCGTTTGTGTCGCAGAAACTAGGCTAAAACTAAAATTTTTTATGGTTTCTGAGCATCTCGTCTGGTGATATTATACATGAATATAACTGCTCTTTTTGACACCAGTTTTTGTTGTAGTTTATGAACTTTATTTTCACTTATTTTTTCTAATATCAAACTGTACTTTTGGGCCGTAACAGTTTTGTCTGATGGAAAAAAACAAGAAAGATCAGTATATGGAATTGTAGATGAAATCTGTTGCTCAGTGCATTCGGTGAAATGTCATTTAAAATGTTGCTTCAAAGTAGAATTCACTTTTCTATTACACTAAAGATTTACATATGATACGTTTAGAAATTAAATTTAGTTTAGTACTGCTTGTGGATAGCTGTATATATTTAATGGACTCTTTACATATCCGTTGCCTTATTTGGAATTCAGTATCTGAAACTTGTTAGTCGGCTTGTATAGTTAATTAAATGAGCTTAAGATTTGTAGATGCTGATTGCTCCTTTCATCTCCTATAAAGCTAACTTTAACCGTGTTCCACTTAGTTGTTGAAAATTTTGTGTAATTTATAGTTGACTCTTTCCCATCTTCATGCAATTTGTTGTTAAGCGTTCTGTTCGAATTCAGAAATTTGAAGAGAAATATCTTTCAAGGTTTTTATTTGACGCCTGTAAACATGTCAAAAATACCAGTGGCTTTCTATTTCTCTGTTTAATCATCTTACCATATTCCTTTGCTGTGTTTTAAAAAGAGGTTTTGTTCAAGAAAAGAAGAGTTTGAGCTAATTTTAAAATAAAATTATTGGTGCAGTAGCAAAGAACATAAAAAGAAGCTTAAGAAATCAGCAAGAAAAATAACCAAGTAAAAAAAGCTGAAGAGAAAAATACCTTGAAAATAGGGTAACAGTGGCAATAACTTTTTGAGCTGCTGATCACTTGATAACTGGAAAAATGTGCTGTGTGGCTGTTAAAAGGTTGAAATTCTTTGCACCGTTTAAGTGCTTGTTTTATTTCTTATTATATGATAGTCTCAAATCTGTGAGTGATATTTTAAAGTAATAAAAAAGCGATAAAAATTTTTAGCAGCAATTTAGGAGAACTTTTTTTACTCATCTACAGTCGCTGAAGGTGTCAGCGTCAACTGAAAGTTTGTTTTCTGTTTATTTAACTTTTTTTATGTTTTTACTTGTTATCTGAAAAAGTTTTCGAGTACAGATATTTGTTGCACCAAAAAAAGGCTATCAACTACTATCAGCGAAATTAGGCTTTATGATTTGTGCTTTGCAAATGCACCAAAATTTTTGGTTGTTATTTTGATTAAAATAACTGCTATTCAGTTGAATATTTTTTTGCGTCTATAGGGTTCTCGGGTTTAAAAACACTGGTAGAGATCAAAAAATTGATAGTTGAGTAGTTATAATGCTTTGTTAGTTCGTAATTCAGTTAGTTTCACTTCATCATGTTTTATCAGACAGGCGTTGATCCTAAGATAAATAAAGAGAAACTTTTCAGTTTAGTTGGTCATTAATATCTGTGAAAAAATTTTCTTCTTTGATTTTTCATTTTATTTTCAAAGTTAACATCATTGTTACAGTAGAATTTCAATTCATTTTTCTCTTTTAATAAATATCATTTTTATATGCATCGGTTCTGAATTTTTTATCTAATTTTACTGAGAAAACAGTGACTGATCACTGGCCGCTTTCAAAGAATCTCATTTTCACAAAAAGATCTTCATTGCTGCTGAAACATTTGAGCTGTATTTTCTTCTACAAGTGTGATATTTTTACCTCATATTAATATTGAACATAAAAAATAAAAAACATTTTTTCACTTTCTTT